AGTACTCATTTTACTTGTCAACTTCTTCTGGATAATATCTCAATAGGGCCGGGTTTTTTGGCCTTCGCCTATTGACGTGGCGCTGACGGAGGATGAGGATTACTCTTTTTTCTTTTTATTTGGATTTTTCCACTTTCTGTTGCTCTTTTTGGCTTTTAACAAATACCTTTAGTTTAGTATTTATTGAATTTTCTTATAAATGGAAAAAAGTACTAAACTTTTTCCCTACTTTTTCATTTTTCAGATTTATTCCTGTCTTTATTTACATTCAAATAATAACTAAATACTCAATTCAAGGTAAAGGGAGTGTATAAATTAAACTCTTTTTGGTTTATTGAATAACATTTTTCTCATAAAATAATGTAATTTTTAGTTTGTTAAAAAAAACACATCTTTTTATATTTAAAGATGTTGCAATAAGTTACTCTCTCTGATCCACTATAATTAATTTTTTGACTGTTTTCACAAGTATTATTCCTCCTGATAATTATTAGATAATATTAAGTCAATTTATCGGTCTTTTTCACCCAATTTTTTTTATTCTTTTAGGTTTTTATTTATTCATTACCTTTTGCTGTTGATGGACCCCATCCTTTCGTTTTCTTTTCACACTTGCAGACCTATTGGCAGTTTCTTAATCCTGAGTACACCATCCTCTAGCTCTATATATAATAATGCTATTAATTAAAATAATAAGCAAGTCATTATCTGCTTTATACTTGTAATCAATACTGCAATTAGTACTTTACGCGTTCTTGCAATTAAATAATACCTCGAGTCAAATTGCAACTTCCAAATTGTGTGCTAAAATATCTCTTTTCGGAAACTACATCTCCATGCAAGTTTACTTGTTCACTAAACTAAAATAAATGTTTATTTTTATTTATTTAGTTTCGAAAGTCGAATAATTTACCGTTTTATACCTACTTTACCTTTCTTATTAAATACTACTCCCTCTAGTCTACTTTAATTGATTTTTTGATATATATTTTTGTGGTCCATAATATTTGATTTTTTAATATAGCAAGTAACTTCTTTTTTCTAATTAAAGTTGCCTTAGAGTAAATAAACTAGGAGTATTTGTTGCATTTCCAATGAACAAGTTAATAAGGTTAATATGGTCAATTTTTATGTTAATTAATACTAAAAGGTGGATTCCTTAATATGTGCGAAAACAGCCAAAAAATCAATTAAAGTAGACAGAAGGGAATACTTGTTATTTTTCAACATATAATAAATGTGGGTAATATAGTAAAAGTATCATGTTATTTATTATTTTTTAATAGGTGTGCCAAATCAATACTCCCTCCGGTCCACTTTAAGTAATTTTTTTATTCTTTTCACACATATTAAGAAATTCAGCTTTTAGCATTAGTTAATAATGAAATTGATCATATTAACCTTAATTTGCTCATTAGAAATATAACAAATTACTTTTAGGCTCTTTATTCAAAAGACATCTTTGAAAAAAAGAAAATAATTTCTTTTTTATATCTGAAAAAATTAAATATTGTGAACTACAAAAAAGGTGAAAAAATCAGTTAAAGTAGACCGGAGGAAGTAGTGGATAAAGAAACTTGTAATATATTCTGCTGTTCTTTCGTTTTCCTAGATATTTTTGTTTGTTCCTTCTAATTTATGGGAAAGAAAAGTTTAATCCCAAGAAAGCACCAACTACTCGTAGTAGGTGTTGGTGCAAACCAATTGACCTCTAAAAAGCCTTTGGCTTTCTAAAATGATTTGTAATATAATATATTAATAGTCTAATATAGTATGTACTCTTTCTGTCCCAATGATATGGCGATTCTCCTTTTTAATAATCAAAAATAATTTTTTTTTTAATTTTATACTTAATGAGACGATTATAAATAGAAAGAATTACAAGAAAATACATATGATTTCACACCATAACAAAAAATGGCTCATGTTTTTAAATTTTATCCGACTTAGCCCATATTGCACATATTTTGAAAACAGTAGCTCTTCCAAATTCAAAATCTGTGTTCTTATAACCATTGCTTTTAAAAGCTATAGAGTTAAATCTGTGTTCTCACAACCATTGTTTTCACTCTCTCTTCTTCTCACATCTTTTACATATGCTTTAAGGGGCCGTCCGCATTACTGCTTCTCCCCCTATGTCAACTGGTTGCAATGTAAAAAAATTAAAGAGTAGAAGTCCACCATTGAAGGCCATCAAAAGCTTTGCTTTCGAAAATATGACTTTTTCAGCTTGTTAGTTGTTTGTATTGTGTAGTGTTCCAATTGATTAAAAATATCAAGAAGAGTTCAAAATTTAAATTTGAAATGATTTGGAGTAGATTTGAGCAAGATTTGAGTTAAATTTCAGAAAAGACGCAGGGAAGAAGACGAAGTCAATTTTTTATATAATTTTGTATAATCTTGTATAATAGTGTATATGAGTGTATAAACACATCTTATACATTATTGTACACCTTTATACAAGCGTCTGTAGACGAACTTCTTCCACGATTTTCAGTTGTAATTCTTGTCCAAAACCTGTCCAAATCTCTATTAAATGACTTCAAATTTTATATACAACCTCCTTATACTATTTCTAACAAGTCTAAATAACACTCACTCCAAATTTCTCACAAAATCAAATTCGGAATGTAAACTCACATATTTAAGCTTGTTAAAATTCTAATTTTCACCACCCAAATGAATTTAGTTTGTTGAACTAATATTTGAGTCACAGTTACTGATTCGAAAATTAACATAAAAGTTTGAACAATATTCTTTTTTAAAAATTAAATAGTAATTTTGATAACCTATTGGAATTGGATGTTGAATCCTAACCTATTATTTTTGGGCTAGTTGGTTGTAAATTGAAATATGGGCTATAAAATTGAAAAGTAGAGAGACAGTTATTTTTATGTGAAATTTTCCCTTATAAATACGTAGTATTTTTAAAAAATTCTTTTTTAAACTCTTCGGTCAAAGTTGTATCGCATAAATTAGTACGGAGGGAGTAGTACTTTAAATTTTGCTTAGTGTTGCATTTTACATGAGGAGTCCTAAGTTAATAGTCATTTTCAGTCAAGAGTCTTAGGAGAAAAAATACAATTCAATTTACAAGATTCTTCTGACATTTTTTTGAAGTAATATTTCTCGTGGCAAACCCACCCAGAAGTCAGAGGTAAACAACCAAGGGGCTTCAAACTGTTGGCAGCTCAACGAGCGGCCGCCGCCTCTTCTCTTNCAACGAGTGGCCGCTGCCACCCGACTCCGCCTCTTCTCTTATTTTCAGAGAGATAAATATTGTATAATGTGTATGCAAAATCAGTATCTTGATATTTCGTGTTAAGTTCAATTATTAAAACTTAATAGGAGTACTATTTATCACTACTCATAGTATATATATATATATATATATATATATATAGTGAAGTTTACTACATATAAATACTGAATGAGCATTTATATTCTTTTACTCTTTTCTTGCGCCGTTGATCTATTTAAAATAATGTCTTTATCTTCAAGATAGGGGCGAGATCTACTTACACACTGTCTCCCAGACCCAAACTTGAGGAATTATACCGGGTTTGTTGACTTTGAAAATGACAGCATGTGGACATATGGTTTGTGAGTCCTAGAATGATCTAGAAAGAGAAGACAAGTCTAACAAAGAATAGTGTGAATTTCTGAGCTCGTCAGACATTATGAAAGCCTCCTTAATAGCCAGACGTAATTTGTCATTTGTCCATTATTGAATACCCTGCAAACACTTTATGTTTTGACGAATCGAAATGTGACATTCGAGATGCAATATACAAATTATCCTTAGTTCTTTTTCTTTTTGCCCTTTTGTCTATAATGAAAGCCTGCACCAGTCAGCATGTGGTACGAAACACAGGAATACATTGAGAAATGATTTTCGGCATTGTTTTCCACCCTTATTTTATAATTATCCCACTCCTTAATAGTAGAAATTCAAACGTTCCAAGTGAATTATATCTACAGCAGCAAGTTGGACCAAGTAAAGAGTCCTAGGCAGTGGCCAAATCAGAAACTTATACATTGGAATTAGAAAAAATGTTAAAATGAAAGTATATACATATACATTTATCTTTACGCTATTTATGTAGTGTAATTTTCAAAGTAAGGCATTCCCCCTATCTAGTTCCGCTCTGGAATAAATGTCGATTTACTACTCCATCCGTTCACTTTTAGTTGTCCACTTTTAATTTTGTATTTCCTTTAACAAAAAATAATGAAGTATATATTTTATAATTTTACCCATATTAGTGATAGGATTTCCAAAAGTTTTGAAAAATGGTTTGGGGAATATGCAGTTAATAATAAGGGTAAAACAGTGAGAAAAAAAAGATTGTCTTTCTCTTAATTTAGTATAATGGGCAAGTAAAAGTGAAAATATAGTTTTAGTATAATGGACAAGTAAAAGTGAACGGAGGGAGTATGTCTTTGTATAAATGATTGCCAAATTACAATAAATATTGTTGCAGAACATTTTAAATTGATTGAACTGGTGAATTAACGATAGCTAAATTTACCAACTACTAATTTCCAAATGAAGCCATACGGTTAACATCGGACAGGAGACTATATTACTCTATGATGGATTCATAGGATACTTTATGAGAGGTCCTACAGTAATGGTAGGAGTGTTCAAAGAAAACCAACAAACAACACTAAACGGGCAATTTGAGTCAAACCAAGAAAAAAACACGGCTAGCGGTTTGGTAAGTGAAAAACTCGAACCAACCTGACATATGTACACCCTTAAGTCACAATATCTATGTCGAACTAAATACTCTTTACACTCATGATGTATAAGATGGGGAAGAATGGGATATGGGTTTGACTGTTGACTGGTCGAAGCTCAAGATGAATCACTCGCCGTCTCCATCTCCATTTAGGTTCTATAGTTGGTTTCCCAAAGAGCAAACCAATTCCTCAACTAATTGGTTCTTTTACATATATATTTTGGAGTTTTTCTTTTGTGAGATGATGCAAAGATGGGGCCAGAGGCAAAAAAATGGAATTTCATTTAATTGGCACAAATCTAGTACAGGACCATCAGCATCAAGAGCGTAACATGCATTCATTTGCTTGGGCTAAACACCAGGTGCGGGTGAGTAAGTTTTTACCGATATTATAACCAGGAATGGAAAATCTGGGATCACTATGACAACAAAACCAAGTATAGCTTTGGGCTTACCATTTAACAGCTTTTACAAGTATTTGTCTATGCTGGCAGTTAGACTGGTTTTGGGTACAGCTCCTATTATTGCATCTTTCTTCTCTCCATCGACAAAGATCATTATCGTTGGGATGCTCCGGATTCCATATCTGGTCGCTACAGGAGGACTGTCGTCAGTGTTCAATTTGAAGCAGCTAACCCTCCCTGCATATTGCTTGGCCAGATCGCTAATCACTGGATGGAACATGCGACATGGTCCACACCAGGGAGCCCAAAACTCAACCACCACGGGTTCAGTAGAGTTGAGAACAAGTGATTCCCATGTTTCCTCTGTCACAAAAGGAACTGAAAGAAAAACACAAGAAATTAAAACACAAAACAAGATTAGGCAAAACACTTTCGACTATCTATGAATCCCTCTCACAACTAATGGAAACCACACTTGAAATCTCTTATCTATAAATTGTCAGGCATTTCGAATGCTCAAGGAATTATTACTTGGTGGAGACTAACACATCCTTAGCTCCTAAACCTCCCAAAATAAAGAATAATAATAACAACAAAAATAACTTTCTTTTAGCAAGTATAATGCCAAAGAATACTTATTATCTGCTCCTATATTATAAGAGAATACCGACTAAATAAGCATTTTCACAGGCTACAGTTTCTCTAAATCAATAGATAAACAAAGTAGGCAAGCTGGCCAAACTTTTTTCTTGTATTACAGACACTAAATCAGTCATTCTTTTACTTTGTGGCTTGTGAAAAAATGTTATTTGCTAACAACGAAAAAACGAAAAGAATTTTCTCCTTACAAATTCGTAATAGTTGTAGAAGATATCAATTCACTTTGACCTGACCTTGCACAAAGATAGTCAACAGTTGCCACTGATTTCCCAAGACGAAAACCTCATAATACAATCTATGGCCAAGGCTTTAGAGTTCTATTATTTTTACCAGCATACTTACTCCTCTACAGCAGCACATGGAAAATAGCTATGTCATTGCCTCTCCAATAGAGAGATATTGCAAGCTTAAGAAGCCACTACACCATAGGAAAAAGGTTCCATTTATGTCATGTACATCTTGAGACAGAAACGTATATATAGTAGACAGTAGATAATACAAACAGGTTTTAACACTACCAATCACCTTTTGCATCAGTTAGCTCCTAGTAGCTGTACAATCATTTAGCTGCAGGGAATAACAGATCAGTACACCAATTTCTTATATGGATGATATTAATACGATAACAAAACAAAACCAAGAGGAGGAGCAAAAAGGGAGGGAAGAGGAATGGAGAATGAGATATTAGGCCAACTTCATACAGAGAAAATCACCTTCCTATAGATTTGAGACGAATACTGCAGCAGAAAGCACCTTGATGATACCATTTCAATTTTGGGGTTAGAAGATAAGAGTAGAAGCAGAAGGGGAGTGCTATACAATCGAACTTCTCTATAACAACCATCTTCTATAACAACACTTCACTGAACGGTTTTCTTTGGAACCAATTTTTCATACTATGTTATAATATATGTTCTATATAACAGCACTTCGCTTTAACAACTAAAAAATATCCTGAACAAACAAACGGTAGGCCTTAATACATCTTCAGAGAGGAGCTATTAACTTCTCATTTCAGAGGGAGTGTCAACTTTAGACACAAAAGCAAAGACCAAGTAAAGAGGTAATAAAAGATTTTACCAAGCAATTTTAGTAAACATAGCAATCGATGCCCCAAGCTTTTAACAACTTCCTAGCATAACTGAATGCCTTGTTCATCTTTACCAAGCATTCACATGAATTTGCTCTTCAAAATCCTCAGATTCTTCCAAAAGAGGTAATAAAAGCTTTATCCTCCGGAAAAATTATGGCTTTGCTGAATCAATCTTTGAAAAATCTATAATTTGAAGCGCCTAAGGGTGTGGCCCAGTGGTCAATGAAATGGATTGAGAACCATGAGGTCTTATGTCCAAATCCTAGCAGAGGTGAAAAAAACATTAAGTGGTTTATTCCCATCTGTCCAACTGTTGGTGGACAGAATTACCTGATACCTGTTAGTGGTGAGAGGTAACAGGTATCCCCTGAAATTAGTCGAGGTGGCGTAAACTAGCCCGGAAACCATAGTAAAAAAAATCTACAATTTGAAATTTTGGGTATTTGGTTGCTTCTTGATGCTATTTTCACGGTAAGTTCTCTTAATATTTGTTCTTTTTTCTTCTTTCTGGTTGGAACTTCTTGAAAAATCAATTGTTTTCCTTTGTGGGTTGAATTCTATGAAATTATTTAGAGTTTATCTAAATTGATATTTAAAATTTTAATTTAACTTAAATTTCAATGAAGAAATATTATCTTAAAGCAACTTTCAAAACCAAGTTCATAATGTCAAGATCATATAACTTCGAAGAAAGGACCAATGAGTCGAAACAACATCGACAAAGTGAAGGAGTTGATTTAAATTCCTTAAAGGTTGGGGGAGAAACAAGTATTTCGAAAAATATCATCCAACTTATCATGATGTAACAAGAAACGCATATCTTCAAAAAGGTCTTTTCCAACCTCTAAAACAAAATTTTCCTCGAAGAAATATTTATGGTAAATTGCATCGCGTTAATCCTTAGATGGTTTATTAGTATGGAGTATGGTGTAACAAAAGATGCGGTTGTTTACTTCAATCGTTATTTGTTTAAAGATGAATGCATCAATTAAGAGAGATTCTTACATCAAACAATACTAATTTATCATGTTTAAGTGATAAATTAAGGTAAGAATATGTATTAATTAACTTATGGTTTAGTGAAAATTCTTTTTTGAGAAGACATAGGTCATGTATTTATTGGGTTGGTGTAAACACCCGATGCGAGTAAGTATTTACCGTTGAGATATATTTTCAAGTATAGGGTTTACAAGTTGAAACAAGAAGGACATATTTGATATGCATATTATTAGACCAAATAGAGTTCATAAAAATTTGATGAGACAAAAATAATCCATTCAAAGTGCATTGCTAAATAATCCGATTAACAAAAGTTAGATCAAATATTGAACTCGTATAGAAGCTATAATTGATATGATAAGATATCTTTTGAACCACGAATTATCATTTTGGGATATAAAATTATTAGTCCCTTGTTCTTATACGGTGTGTCATTATTATCAGTAGGATGGTATTATTCTTGTAGTTTCGTATCCCTGGATCTCTGCTATTACTCGTTGTATTATTTGCTTCCATTTTCTTATTCCCTTGTTATTGCTATTGTTTCTCTATTGCTTAATTTTTACTGTTCTTGAGCTGAAGGTCTTTCGGAAACAGCCGCTCTACCTTCATAAGGTAGGAGTAAGGTCAGCATACACACTACCCTCCCCTGATCCCACTTGCGGGATTTCACTGGGTTTTTTGTTGATGTAAATTGCTTAGCAAGTGCACTTTAAATGGATTGTTTGTCTCATCAAATCTTCACAGTTCTTTTTTGATTGATTATGTATATTGTTTGGTCCATCAATGTGCATATTAAATTTGTTCTTCTTGTTCCAACTTGTAAATCATATACTTGAAAATACATCTCCAAGGTAAATACTTACTCGCATCGGGTGTTTATAACAACCCAATAAATACATGACATATGTCCTCTCAAACAAGAATTATTACTAAATCACAAGTTAATTAATACATATTCTTACCTTAATTTATCACTTAAACATGATAAATTAATATTATTTGGTGTAAAAACCTCTCTTAATTGATGCATTCATCTTGAAACAAATAACAATTGAAGTGAAAAGCCGTATCTTTTGTTACACGATACTCCAACAATTAAAGCGACACAATTTTCCATAAAATTTCTTAGAAGAAAATTGTGATTTCAAGGTTGGAAAGGACCTTTTTGAAGATATGTTCTTCTTATTGCATCACGATCATTTGGATGATATTTTCGAATTGCTAATCTTTCTTCAAAATCAGCTTTTAAGGAATTTAAATTAACTCCCTCACTTTGTCAATGTAGTTCCGACTTATAGGCCCTTTATTCCAAGTTAGATAAATCTGGATCTTTTCAACTTAGTTTTGGAATTCTAGAAGTTGTTGTAAGATAATATAGTAAAAATAGCACGGGCTAGCCAGTTTTTGGACTGGTCATTCAAAAATAGCCAGCGTTTGCAAAGTCATTGAAAAATAGCCACTATTTTGCTGCAATAGGGACAGGTCCAACATAATATACAGGAGATCGGTGTACCTGTGTATGAACTTCCAGCATATTATGCTGGAACTCTAACACGCAGAAAGTTCTAGCATAATATACTGGAGATTGGAGCACCTGTGTATGAACTTCCAGCATATTATGCTGGAACTCTAACACGCAGAAAGTTCTAGCATAATATACTGGAGTTCCAGTATACTTATGCTGGAACTCCAGTATATTATGCTAGAACTTTCTGCGTGTTAGAGTTCCAGCATAATATGCTGGAAGTTCATACACAGGTGCTCCAATCTCCAGTATATTATGCTGGAGTATTTTCCGGATTTTGAACAGTGTTTTCGTTCAGATTTATCTTTACATGAAAAGTGGCAAAATTTCAATTACTTTTGAAACTGTGGCTATTTTTGAATGACCACTTGTAAATCTGGCTATTTTTGAATTTCTCCCGATAATATATCGTTCTAAATTAAAAGTTCAAATACCAATTTAGATAAAGCCTAAATAATTTTATAGGATTCAACGCACAAAGGAAAACAACGAATATTTTCAAGAAACTCCAACGAGAAAGAAGAAAGAAAAAAGTATTAAGAGAATCTACCGTGAAAATAGCATCTACATTCCCAAAAATCTCAAATTGTAAAGAGAATAAGTAGTTTGTCAAAGAGAAATGGTTTAGCAAAGCCATAACTTTTTAGAAGGATGAAGCATTTATTACCTCTTTTTGAAGAATCAAAGATTTTGAAGAGCAAATTCTGGCGATTGCTTTCTAAAGAAGAAGAAGGCATGATTCTACCATAAAATTGTTAAAAACTTGGGTTAATGATTGTTTTGTTTAATAAAATTGCTTGGTAAAAGTTTTTTTACCTCTTAATGGTCAACCTTCTTTGTAATTTTATTGATTCTATTCTCACTCAAAAAAAAAAAAATAGGGTTTTAAGATTGTGCATGCAAAAGTGCAACTCAAAAACGTTTTACTGCTTAAACCCTTGACCTCTCGATAGTATGAAGTGCTTCGTCCAGAAAACCTGCAAGCCATCTTGTTCAAGTGGTGTTTTGAATTTTTATAATTATACTTAGATTTTCGTTTTGGAGAGGATGGTTGAAGTGAGGATGAGGAGCAGTGTGTCCATTCTTGAGAACCAGTTCGGTTTCATGCCGGACCGTTCGACTATGAAAGCTATTCATCTGGTGAGGAGATTGGTGGGGCGGCATAGGGAGATGAAGAAGGACTTGCATATGGTATTTATTGACCTAGAAAAAGCTTATGACAAGGTCCCGAGAGAGGTGCTTTGGAGATGCTTGGAAGCTAAAGGGGTCCCAGCAGCCTATATTAGGGTGACTAAGGACATGTATGATGGAGCTAAGACTCGGGTTAGGACGGTAGGAGGAGAACACTTTCCGGTTGTGATGGGGTTGCACCAGGGATCAGCTCTTAGCCCATTTATATTTTCCTTGGCGATGGACGCATTGACACGACACATTCAAGGAGAGGTGCCATGGTGTATGTTATTTGCTGATGACATAGTTCTGATTGACGAGACGCGAAGTGGTGTTAATGAGAGACTGGAGGTTTGGAGGCAGGCCCTAGAGTCTAAGCGTTTCAAGTTGAGCAGGACCAAGACGGAATACTTGGAGTGCAAGTTCAACAACGTTATCCAGAAAGCGGACATGGAGGTGAAGTTTGATACACAAGTTATCCCTAAAAGGGGTAATTTCAAGTACCTTGGATCTATAATACAGGGTAACGGGGAGATTGATAAGGATGTCGCGCACCGTACCGGAGCTGAATGGATGAAGTGGAGGCTCGCTTCTGGTGTCTTGTGTGATAAAAATGTGCCACTGAGACTTAAAGGTAAGTTCTACAAGGTTGTAGTTAGACCAACTATGTTGTATGACGCAGAGTGTTGGCCGGTCAAGAACACTCATGTTCAGAAGATAAAAGTAGCTGAGATACGGATGTTAAGGTGGATGTGTGGGCATACCAGGTTGGATAAGATTAGGAATGAAGTTATTCAGGATAAGGTGAGAGTGGCTTCTGTGGAGAAAAGATGCGGGAGGCAAGGATGAGATAGTTCGGGCATGTTAAGAGGAGAAGTATAGAAGCGAAGCCCCAGTCAGAAGGTGCGAGAGGTTAACCTCAGTGGGCATCAGGAGGGGTAAAGGTAGGCCTAAGAAGTCTTGGGGCGAGGTTATTAGGCGGGACATGGCGAAACTAGAGTTGACTGAGAACATGGCCCTAGATAGGAGGGTGTGGAGGTCGAGGATTAGGGTAGAAGGCTAGTAGGTAGTCGAGCGTATCTCTTTGTCTTTCCCAATTCGCTAGCATTAGTGTTAGTATGATATCCTTTTATTCATAGATTGCTATTATTACCTAGAGTTTAACTGCTTTCTTGGCTTCAGTATTTTCATCTTGTTGTTGTTCCTTCTTGTTGCCATAACTTTTGTCATTTGTTCTCCAGCCGAGTATCTATCAGAAACGGCCTCTCTGTCCTTCTAGGATAGGGGTAAGGTTGCGTACATCTCCCCCTCCCCAGACCCCACTTGTGGGAAAATACTGGCCTTCTTGTTGTTGTATTTTCGTTTTGCTTATTATTTATATATACACACTTAGCAAAGAAAATCGACCGCTTGCCTCGTGGTAGATCTGCTCCCGCAGCCAAGTGATGCACCGAGAATATGCAGCTCGCTTAAGGGCCCAAAGGGAAGTGAGAAAACAACTTAAAAAAGCAGCAAGCTAGCAGTCTATATTACCCCCCCCAAAAAAAACCACACACACACACACACACAAATTCTCCTTACTGCTACTGTGCAAGTTCTTGGAACACTTTTATTTCTCTCCTACTTAATAAGGTACATAACTGCTACTGGGACATGTTTTTCCTCTTTCCAGTTTCCATCAAAATCTGGATAAAGATTCCCACATAGTGATGAGTGTTCTTGTTTTGTGTGCACTTGGCTGCTCTCTTGAATGATAAAGAATCGAACTCTTAGTTTTCACATGCTTGTTGTAGGACTGTGCAATCTTGACCTTATGTCCTTGCAGGTGATTTTGTATTCAATCGAAACAAGGATTTTTGATTGGGCGGGTTCAACGAAAAAAAAAGAAGGATTCTTTGTTTACATTACTTACTTTTTCGCCCTCTTAGACACATGGTTCTAAAGATCCAATTTCAAAGTTGTACTAAAGATTTGGCAGAACTAGAATTCTTCGCCCCTCCCGTTGTACCAAGAAGCAAGTTCAGAACATAAAAATAGGAATGTGAAGTGAAGGAAAAACATTTATTTAGGTTTTTAGAATTCGTTCGTCCACTGAAGAATTTGGACTAGCTAATCAGCTACTAAAAAGTAAAACCAAATATCAAGATTACAAATTTATGAGGTGGGGCACTATTTTATGTGAAAGTAAATAGGAAAAGGATCTAATCAAGACCTTTCTTTCCCTATTCCTTAGTAAAGATCCATACTAATATGCTTCACAAGCTAAAGTGACAATAGTCTAACAAATCGGTGTCAATCATCTTTCGATGAAACGACGGTATGATGCGAGGAAGCCCCGTCGGCATCAATGAACCGGAAGCGCCCCTTCTTTCAAAGAGGAGGACGGGTTATTCTCATTTCATTTGATGGTCAGAAGCGAATTAAAAGTTAAGCAGTGGGAATTCTAAAGATTCCCGGGGAAAAAATAGAGATGTCTCCTACGTTACCCATAGTATGTGGAAGCTCAATCAAGCAACATAATGTATTCATATCATACTTTTCATGTAACTTCTGAATATGTAAACCTTATTTCAAAAAGATTAAGAAATCAATATTCAAATTCACACTGAAACTCAAACGCGTCGACTCTCAATGAGGGAGTAACAATTAGCTAGTACATTACGTGGCAGGATAAATTAAAATCTAAATACTAGTAGTAAAATATTGCAGCTGAAATAAAAGAAAAAGGATTATCTTTTGACAAATCTAATGTAAATTAAATGCAAATATAATGCTCTTAACGAAGTAAAAAAAATGAAAAAATGAGAACGAACCATCGAAAGCAACATCAGAAGCTTCGCCGGAGACGCTACTTGAGCGACAACAACTTGTTGAAGAAGACGAAAGTGAAACTTGCTTTAAAGGGGTACAGGATTTAAAAGCGGTGTATTTGAGAGGGGAACGGCGGTCCCATGTGGCGGACAACGGCGGCGAGGGGCGGAGGGCTGGTCGGATATTAGAAGGAGAAGAGGAAAAAATGGAAGAGAGGGCGAGTGAATCGAGAATCGTCGACATTGGCGAGAGCAAAGGAGGGAAACTGTGGGTTTGTTGACTATTTCTATGTTTTCTGAAATGTGAAAAAGACATCTTTATTACACTTACAAAAAAGTATTTATATTAAATTATACCACTAAGTATGTGTTTGGACATAAAAAATATAATTTTTTAAAAAAATAATAATATTTGGAGTTAAGTTGAAAAATAGTACTTAAAAACATGCATTTCACTTGAAAAAATGTTGAAGTTTTGTAAGTGGACAAAAAAGTAAAAAATTTCAAAGTTGCAAAATTTCATGAACAAATACATTTTTGAATATTTTTTTTAAAAAAGAAAAAGATTATGGATAAACAAGCCTAATTTACTATGATTAAGAGATTTTATTAGGTAAACATATATATCAATTAATTAATTATGATTAAGTAAGATGAGTTTATTTACAAATACATATCATCCATCTATTGGTTTAATATAAACACTCGATCCGAGTATGTATTTATCGTTAACAATACAATACAAGCACATTTAGGGTGTGTTTGGTATAACGGAAAATGTTTTCCAACGCCATATTTTTCTTGAAAAACAAGTAGTAATCTTATTCGTTTTTCGGTGTTTGGTACACAAATTAAGGAAAATGACTTCTCAAGAGTATTCATATATAATTTAGATATAATAAACATGAAGCCATAAACTTTCAAACGAACAACCTTCCAAACTCACAAATTTCATAAACTTTCGAACCGCTAAACTTTTAAAATCGCGGAATTTCGAACCCATAAACTTTATAATTTCTAAACCCGTAAACTTCCAAACACATAAACCTCCGAACTCATAATTTTGGAACTTGTAAAATTTTGAACCTTTAAACCGATAAATAAAAAAATTAAAACTAAAAAATATATTTAAAAAATATTTTTTCCGGGGAGGGGGGGCAGTAAAACAAAAAAAACAGAAATTTAAATTACAAAAAAAAATTGTGCGGGGGTTGGGGATGGGTGGTGCAGAAAAATAAAAAAACAGAAATTTGAAATTGCAAAGTGTGGGAGTGGGGGGTTCATAAGAAAAATATTTTGCAAAACATTTAAGCCAACTAAATATGAAAAAATTGGAAAACATTTTTCGGAAAATATTTTCCTTCATACCAAACACACCCTTAAACTATTAAATCGACATAACAATATTAATAGAAAAGCATGTTTGTGAAAGGCATATCTTTTAAATCTAAATAAAAGTAAGTTTGTGAAAGCCTCTCGTCAAGGACGGATATCAATTAAATATGTTGTATTAGTTTATTTATTTATTAGTTTAAAAGGAGAATGGCCTACGGTTTCAGAAATTATGCGTATTGTGATCATGCTTCTGTGCTCCTCACCTCCTCTTCTGATTCTGTCTAATTCCTCATCCCCTTTCTAATTACCGATCCTATTTCTTCAGTTTTTCTGTAACTTCTTTCATTTTTACATACTAAAGTTGTAATCTTTCAGTCATTGAGATCTTTATAGTATAAAATACCTTAGCGTTGTGTTGAGCAATTCGGGTTGTTACATTCAACTTAATATAATTAACTGTGAAAATGAAAGAAATTAACACAAATAATAAAATTAGTCAGAAAAAGTGAATTTCAAATACTAAATATTTTTAAAGAATAATATAATAGTATTGGTTTAGCTTGTTATTTCTCCTATTAAAATCCATGTTATAGTGGTCCGCCAATGGGTAATGGAGAGGTTAAACCGGTTAAACCAAGGGGGAAGTGTACGGCTGACCACTAATTAGAGACGCATTTACTCTTTAGCTACGGTTTAAAATATATTTATTCTTTAGCTAATGTTTAATAAATTTTTATCCACTCGGACGAAAATACCTATGTGCTAGACATGGATGTTGTGTAAATATTAAAGACATGGTGCCCTTAATTTCATGAATGCTGTGTAAATATTAAGGACAAAATGTTCTGTCATGTCCTTAACTTCATATGTGCAGTGTAAATGTTAAGGACATGTCGTCCTTAACTTCATGTGTGCAGTGTAAATGTTAAGGACATAATATCCTTAACTTGTATTTGCACTTTCTGTTATTAAACTTTAGGACTTCATGTCCTTAACCTCATATGTGTAGTGTAAATGTTAATGACATGGTGTCCTTAACTTCATGTGTGCAGTGTAAATTTTAAGGACATAGTGTCCTTAACTTTATGAGTGAGTAAATATTAAGGACATGATGTCCTTAACTTCATGAATGTTGTGTAAATATAAAGGACAAAGTGTCATGTCATGTCCTTAACTTTATATGTACAGTGTAAATGTTAAGATATGACATCCTTAACTTCATGTGTGCAATGTAAATGTTAAGGACACCATGTCATTAATATTTATACAACATTCATGAAAAAAGATTGCACTTAATTTTAATAAAGTGCTGGCTATTTTTGCTCAGCATTAAAAATACTGAATAAAAATTAAATACCACATTAAAGAGTGGTTATCCCACGCCATTTCTGCGTTAAATCAATTACATCTATAATTTTTGGGAGACAAATAAAGTACACCTACGTTTTGGGTTTTCTACTGAAACCAAGTCAAAGGCAATAATGCATAAGGAATTGGTAAACTATATAATTTTATTTCAAATTAGACAATATTAATGTTTGTAGAAAAAATTTAAAAAAGTACAAAAAAAAATGTAAAAAGGAAAGAAAGGTGTCTACTCTTTAACAGTAAAAATATTTTTAGAACTTTGAATTAAACTACTTAAATATTCATATTAGTAAATATATTTTTTACACCAATATCAAAGGTAACATATTACAAATACATGTCTAGCATCTCATTTATTTAAATTATCCTTTTCTAATATAAATAATAATATTACCATGTGAAGCTAAAGACTTTTATGTCATTTAAGAATATATACTATAAACAACAAGTATGAAAAAATAGCAAAATTAAATTTTTTGCATAAATATGTGTGTATACACACATACATACTATATGTGTGTATACGTACTAATCAGTTAAGTTTCGACGTAATGTTCTATCTTTAGTAACCTGTGGAGCTCCACTACTCAGAACATCCCTTCAAGATACCCTGTACATAAATTTCTCCAAAAAGTTTCAAATAAAAAGCTTTTTGACTAAAAATTGACAACTACTTGTAATGTTGTGGATGCAGAACCATGAACCTGCCTTTTTTAATTCCGCTGACTTGGCTTTATGCAAGGTACTTATTAATTAAACCTTTTTAAATGCCTGAATTGTATGAAACTTAAATATACTTTTAGCTTATTGTTGGACATTAAATTACAAAATCTCTTCATTTGTTGTTATTTTTGCTCTACCTTGGTTCTACTCATGAAAAAAAAAGATTCTTTCATAAATACGAAAGCACACAATTAGAATAAATATTCTCTCTGGTTATTGAGATGTTAATTAAGACTTGGCTAAGCTAGAGCAATAATACATTTTAGATGGGGGGATTTCTATGACTAAGTCTAGGGGTGTCCCTATGATATGCAGGAATCAGGAGTCATAGTTTGTTCAAAATTCTCATTCCATAACTAACTACTACTTGGATTTGATAATAGGTCCAATCCGATAAAATTTCACTAAAATTTATTTTTACTACATAAATATTAAATTCAAATCTCTCTGCATGTTACCAATTACTCAGGACTGTTTCACTTTCAGTCTTACTAGTACAAAAGCACACATGTAATACAGTTGGTTCCATACCACGAATTTTGTGACAAGAGTTCAAGTTCTTTGTCACCTTATCTAATATGGTAACCGTATTCATCTGAATAAGAAATATATTAGAGAAGAATAAGGGTGCAAGTCAATTTCTTTACGCATACAAATCATCCACAAATTATCGCTGCAATGATTCAGTTAGAAATCATCTGGTTGAGAAAGAAAAAGCTGTTACATGAAGAAATAAGTGATAGTCATAAGATGAAGTTTCAAACCGGGCCCAAAAATTATTGATTTGCGAATATTATCTATGTTTGAGCCACCTTTACCAAATAACTTTATCAACCACATGTCCATGGATAACTATTTCTAGAGCTGTGGGTGTATGCGGTCTGCTCAAAGACATCATATAGCTCAGAATAAAATGACACAATGCTTCAGAAAAAAAGACAGATAAATTAATTGATCATCATAAAGTACTAAACCCACCATATATCTTTGAGGAATATGAAGAGTACGCTCCATAGCCATCATCCCCCTTCACTATTGTAACTTAAGTCGTTTTTTATGGTGTGGCAAAATTTTAGGCGATTCGGATTCGGTCACCGGACCCATGTAGATGTCGTGGCCTATAGCACATGAAAATTTAGAAATCGGGTGAAATTCTAGTTTTAATTGATATTTTGTCAGATTTTGACAACTATATTTCTATAAACACATGAGCCATGATTTTTTCTCGTGTCCAAACTCTAATTTTGTTAAAGTATAAAGAAGGGGCAGCCCCTAATTTGGTTACATCCATGTCCTTAGATGTAATTCTTAGAATAATTCTCATGACGTATATTCTTGTAAGTTTGGAATCTTTATCAACTATACATAAGTGAAGATGGTCCAGAACTCTAATTCTTTGCTTGGATTGGATTTTAGTGATTGATTGTGATCCACGGCTAAATGATGCAAACGAGCTGCTCGGAGAGTTAAATAAGAGCACTGGACTGTTAAAGTTTGTCAGTATTATGAGAGAAAAGTTTCAAGCAGCTACAACACATGGTATGACTTTGTGTTTCGATTTCTATGTTTCATTATCCTCTGGACCTTATTTGGTAACACCAGAGCCATATACTGTTGTGCAAGAAATCATAGAGTATTGGTTGCTTGCAATCCCCAGAAGAAGCATATCCTTACAAAGTTTATAAATATATAGATAGTTTGTCATCAAATTCCTTATAATGGCTGAATATGGCAGATATAAATATATGGAGAGTTTTTCATCAAATGTCGTATAATGGTTCTAAATATGGTTATGTTTCCTATGCATCCAGGAACTCTTCCAGACATAGTATCTCGCAATCAAGACACTTCAATGATCTCTATGTCAACCT